GAGAGAGAGAGAGAGAGAGAGGTTACAGGCAAAGGTTACATCGGGCATTGGCCCAGGATCTGATTCGACATTTTGTGGCAGACATTGATTGGACATTCGGCAGGGAGGTTATTTCTGGACTTCGCTATCGCGATCTAGGTCTTCTTCCTCACCTCCATCTTCGTCCTGCCTCTTCCCCATCTCTCATCTGTGGTATCTTCCCCATGTGTGTGTACGAGGGGGGACCTTTCTTCCATGTATGTGGTCCCTCCTCTTCCCCTCACATGTGTGATGTATGATGGGAGGTCGTGTCAGTATCTGATCGGTCAGGTCATATCTTTGAGTCTTCCGTTGCGCTACTTTGTGCTATTTTCTAGAGGTACATTGCCGGTTGATGCTTTGCTGACACTGCATTGTCCATACGAGTCCTTTTCATCACTTTGCAGATCAACCGGCAATGTACCTCTAGAAAATAGCACAAAGTAGCGCAACGGAAGACTCAAAGATATGACCTGACCGATCAGATACTGACACGACCTCCCATCATACATCACACATGTGAGAGGAAGAGGAGGGACCGCATACATGGAAGAAAGGTCCCTCCTCGTACACACACACGGGGAAGATACCGCAGATGAGAGATGGGGAAGAGGCAGGACGAAGATGGAGGTGAGGAAGAAGACCAAGATCGCGATAGCGAAGTGCAGAAATAGCCTCCCTGCCGAATGTCCAATCAATGTCTGCCTGACTCTGCCACAAAATGTCGAATCAGATCCTGGGCCAATGCCCGATGTAACCTCTGCCTGTAACCTCTCTCTCTCTCTCTCTGAAAGAAGAAGAAGAAGAAGATGCAGAAGAAGAAGAAGAAGAAGAAGAAGAAGAAGAAGAAGAAGAAGAAGAAGAAGAAGAAGAAGAAGAAGAAGAAGAAGAAGAAGAAGAAGGCGGAGAAAGGAGGGAGAAGATATGGAGGGCGAGACGAAGAAGAAGAAAGTGTCGTCCTCCTCGCTGTCTCACCTGCAGGTAACTGCCGCCATGTACTAACTGCCGTCGTGGTCCTGTGCAGGTCGCCGGCGTGGAGCACGGCTATGGCGCCCAGGTAAGTACCGCCGACGGAGGTATGGCCTCCACCCCTCTGCCTGCCTACACCTCTACCTCTACCCCAGTATAGCACGGTAGCGCTGTAGCGCTGGTTCAGCAGCGTGTCGCCCAAAGAAGTGGGCTACTCCAACCGTCCGTCCGTCCTGGCCTGGCCCATCTATAAGTAGTGCTGGGCCTCGTCGGTCTGCCTCCGTGTGCCTCTGGTCCTAGGCCAAAAACGTGGCCTACTGGGTCTGGGTCCCGACCGGACGTCCAGACCCTGCCTGCTGATGCAGCAGGGACGTCCGTAGCTGAACGAGCACGAACCTGGCCTCAAGGGGCCCTGGCTCCTGGTGTACCCAGCCCAAGGCGCAGCCTTGGGGACTGCAAGTCTGAAACGATGCCTGAACAGACAAAAATAAGACAGCAAACAAATAAATAAATAAATGAATGCTGTCGTAAATCAAATCCTGCCCCTAGAAGTCCAACAAACAGAGAGGAAGTACTACGACAGCCCCTCTTCTGCAACCAATGGCTGAAAGACCCTTCCGATAAACCATGGACTTTGATGTCACAGGATACTCGCTGGATTACATGGCTTGAGAAGGGAGTGTGGAAAATAGAACACATCTGGAACCAGCAATGCAACCACTGGAAGACAACAACAGAACTCAGAACAACTCTCAAAGGTTGCCACAACTTGGAGGACAACCGACAACGTGGAAGTCACAAAACACACCCACAGAAGTACTGTCGTACGTTAGGTCAACAGGACCGGCAGGGAACTGGGGACTATGGACCATTCATGACATGGAACAGCCAGGAAACAACATCAGCAGGGTCTCCAAAATAGTTCGGGCCCGAGTTACAGCGAAACCATTCTTACTCAGGAAAATCAGAGTGGTAGAAGACGATGACTACAGAGCCTTTCAGCCCGAAACAGCTTTACAAGACTTGGAGTTTGATCCGGCAGAGTGGGCATGGAAGACAAGAACAATGCCAACGGGGGTGCAGAAGCGGACCAATATCCTTGACTATACAACCAGTTTCGGTTACAAACTTAGATGTAATCCGGTGAATACAGACCTCATTTTATCCCAGCGCTGGGAGAAGCACATTCCAGGCTGCCTCGCTAACACGGAGAAGCTGGACGGGCAGATCCTCCTCGCCATCAGAAATACTCGCATAAGAAGTATGCAATGGCTTATGTACTATCAGGCTTTGCCTGTCAACTCATGGCTCAGCAGGAGAAGGTCGGGAAATAACAGAAGGGACTTCGACGACAGCTGCGCAGTCTGCGAGGAGGGATCTCTCGAGGACATGTTACACTGCCTCATAAACTGTTCAAACGCACAAAAAATTTGGAACAGAGCTCAGGAGTACTGGTTGGAGCTAGTTGGCAGTTCACTACCAGACAACAAGCTGACACTGCTGACGGGGGCGCAACCAGGATTCAGAGAAGTATGGCATTCAATTCTATTCAGAAGACTTCGTCCGTCTACACTATGGATTATATGGAAGACTCGTTGTAAACAAACGATAGCTCACCAAAGCACGTCGACTCGGGAAGCCTGGGAGAATGTTCTTCAACTTCTACACACGGAATACCAGGCAGAGTGGTTCCGAGCAAGCAAGAAGATCAAGGACGATTCCACGAAAAAGCAAACAATTATAGATAATTTTATCAAAGACAGGCTTGGAAAGGGTAAACTAGGCACAGTACAAGGTGATCCCCCGCGTTTGTTATGGAAGAGAAGGGAGGCGCAGCAAGGGGGAGACAGGACCACGGCTCTCGCCTCGCTGGAAATGGCACAATCACAAAATAATACAGAGGACATTATTATCGCCTAAGCGATTATTCAGAACGACGGTTTCGAGACAACAGAGACCTGGTCTCGCGGGAATCCGGAAATAGGGTTTAGGGGTTAAGGAAAGCGGCAAAACAGGGGTTCAGCATGAGTACAAGCGAGTTAGCTTTACAAAAAAGTGGGAAAAAGGCAGAGATCCCAGTCTATAAACGGGCAGGATCCATCACAGGCCACGTAAGGCGGTAGGAAAATCCTTAGAGCCGTATTTAGATGGAAATTCCTACCGGGTTGAAGGCGGCGATGAAGGCAGACGAGGCCCGAGGTTGAGGATCAGCAAGAGAAGGTCAGGAATAAGTTTTATGGGAAAGGGGTTGGTGAACGGCAAAGCGGCAGAGTGACGGAATGGACGAGTATGCTGGAAAGAATGGCACAACCTAGAAACAGGAGGTAGACCCCAGAACACACCCGAAGCGGACAAGAGGATGAGCTGAAGTCACAAAACCACAATTCAGGCCACTTGAGCGGTCAAAGACAAGGCAAACCGGTAGCCGCAGAGGAAGAAAAAAAAAGAAAAAAAGAAAAATCAAGACGAGGGTTTAGGCTTAAGGGTTTTGAGCGTGCAAGGAGGAATAGGGGGAGACGGGACATATAGGTAAGGTTGAAGTTCGAGGCTCAAGGATTATCTAGAGTTTGACGGTAAGCTCTTTCTAGCGGGTATGGGCTTATCTGGCAGATCTAGGGGGCAGATCTGAGAGGAAAGAGCGAGACACGGCAAGCTGGCAGTCAATCCTCCAGAAGGCTGGAGTAATCAATGCTGCTCATGGGTGCTCCGGCCAAATGGGAGGAAGAGTGTGGTTTCTATGAGGTATTGTTTATTCTGACTAGCCTATAGATTAGGAACCGGAAAGGGTTTAGACAGCTTGGCAATAGCCAGGCAGATCAAATAGCACAGGCTAACTTAGGCAGGGGTGAGGAGTGGTAAATCCTTCCTCAGGGAAGTAATCAATGCCGTCCACTCGGACCTCCCAGCCATAATGGGGAGGAGCGTGCATGAGTCTCCCATGTTTTCTACTTGACTTGCCGGGGGAATAGGAACCGGAATGTCGCTCCCCAGAATGGTAGGAGCCAGAACCAAAAGGTTCTGATATGAAAAAAAAATAAAATAAAAAAAATTCTGCCCCTAGAGGCCGCCGTGGGCCTCCAGGGTGTGCGTCAAAAGGACGCGCGGCCTGGGGGCCCCTCAGCAACCGTCGGGCCCCTGAAATGGGGCCCGTGTGCAGGCGCAGCATGTAACAGTGTGTGTGTGTGTGGGATATCCAGGGTGATGCGGAGTTGAGTGAGTGCGAACAGTGGTGTCGAACGGAGAGGCGAGAGTTGGGATGTCCAGGCGCTGGTGCGCCATAGCCTGTTAAAGCGAGCTTGTATCTGAACTGTGTTTTCAACTTCCATATCTCTGAGCGTTGAGTGGGCGCTGTGCGCCAGTGTGACTCACCATCTGTTTGCATGAGTGCAGAGTGGAAAAGAAAACGAGTCTGATTTCACTGAACCAAAAAAAAAAAAAAAAAAGCCCGCCCACAGGTGCACCCTGTCCAGAGTCCCTGAACTTTTTGGAGAGCCTCATTCGGAATCTCCAGATGTCTTTAGTACACGGCCCCAGCCTTGCAGAAAGTTTTTGTCGCCACAACGCAAAACTCGGAGGCGCTGTGCAGCCAGGGGCACCGTTGAAAAGAAAAATTGGCGGCAGGTTTCATGCTAACACCCGCGGGCCGATGTGTGGTGTACTGGTGCTGTAAGCGGGCCTCAGAGACTTGAAATGTCTGTTAGTACTTCCCAATCTTCCATATGTATATAACAGTATTACACACAAATACAAACAAACTGTAGCTGGGCCCTCCATTTCGCAGCAAATAAAGGCATAATCAGATAATCTCCTTCATAAAAAAAAATAAAAACATAAAAAATTGTAGCCATAGGCCCATAGCGCCATTCAGAGTCTTACAGGTAGCATTTTATCAAATTTTATAGTTTTGGGCCTTTTGGCCCTTTTGGCCCTATTCGGTCATATAAACTTCAAGAACCACACTTTTTTTTTTTTTTTTAAGAACCTCACATTTCTCCCGCATAGCACCCCTGCCTCCATAAAACATGAAAAAACTGTGGATTAGCTTGCTTCATCCCACACTCGGACTCTCATGGACGTATCTGACCGCAATGATGTCCAGAGCTCTGTCGAAAAAACTTTCTTCATCGCAGGTCTACCGAACAAGATGAAGGAAGCCGGAGGACAAAGATGACCACCACTATGACCGAGTGGCCTAGCTCAGTCGGTACACCTATCAAGTTAGTATATCAAGTATTATCAACTGTTAAAACACGGACCTGAGTTCGAATTCCAATGGAATCAGATGAGTAAAATGTGTTATATAATATTTTATGTATTTATATATCTATATCGTCACAAACAGAACTGCCCAGTAAACCGTAGGCAGAGAGAGAGAGAGAAGAGGACAACAAACGAGGAGCTGTTATATTCTGCAGACTGTTGAGGGTTCAGCCTCCTGATGAGTCGGTGAAACTCCGACGAA